ACCAAAAGGATTGATAATGGTCTATAGGATAATGTGAAATGCTTTTTAGCATTTTATGCTGAGTCATTTCTTGAATGTTATAAGCTGTAATGCATTTTAATGAAAATGTGTTTCAACCTAGATATAGTCTTCAGATAAAAATACAAAACCATCTGAAGGGTCAAAACATCATAGAAGAGGGATATAAGTAAAATAAAGGCAAAGTGACAGCTATTTCAGACCAGGTAGAACGAAACAACAAACTCATTAGAGGATTCTCGTGAGACAGACATTCATGCTCTGAAAAATTGTTTTACATGACTTTGGAAAGAAGGGAAACAAAAGCAGTTCATGTTAGGATGAATTATATCCTCATTATGCTTACCTCAGCTCAAACTAAATAATCTTCATAATAATTCTATTTCACTAATAATTATCATTAATCTTTATTCAGCTATGCTAAGCAATGTCCTGAGTGTTTTACAAGCTTCAACTCATTTAATTATAAAGACAATCCTTGAAGAAAGTATTATCAACATTCCCATTTTATAGATGAGGAAATGTAGGCACAGAAACATTAATGAAGTTGCTAGTACTATAAGTGAAAGAGTTGGGCTTTGGTAAGCATATTTATCTACATTTAGCAAATACTGTGTGAGGGGACATTTTATATTTAGATTTAATGGGGCAAAACTCCATTTCTATCCTCTCTGTTAAAAAAATCTAAGTTCTTGAATTTTCCAAAGTCAGAACATGCCACATTCCACTTTATTTCTTCCCTGTATAGTGAGGTATTTGCACTTTCTTTTTGAGACGGACAAAATGAACACAAACCACTCCTTTCATTCTATCATTTTCAGCACTCTTTTACTCCACTGTAGTAAACCCCCAAAATAGGGCAATTTGGGCCAGTGCAAAGAAGCAAAAAAAGCACTTGAATCTGTGCTATTGAATTTTGCTGCAGAGAGCTATGTGAAGTAGGCCCTTTGCCCTCTTGAATAGTTTCATCTCTAACCTTTGGATCAGAGAACTGGGTACAAAACTCTATCTCTTCTAGTTCTATATTGTTAATATCCATTGTGGTCAGCTTTCTACATGTAGGCTATATAGTATGTCATGACAAAATTTATGGACTGAAATTATTTCATCTGCACAGTTGGAATACTACCTGAATCCCCTGAAGGTGGTATGGATTGCTACTAATCTCATGGCAAAGGAAAAGGATCATCCATATCATTAACTAATGATAATGGGTATGAGAGCCAGAAACCCCTACTCTTCAGCTCATTCAATGCAACAGCGTACTTGACCCCAGGCATACTGTATTCATGTGAGTTTCTATGCATGTGAGATTCTGTAGCCACTTATACAATCTGCTGACTGTGAAGAAACTTGATCAAAACATCAAAGTTTGCCAGAGAAGCTGTGTTTGTGCCCTTCACAACCATTGATGAAGTATCTTAACCTCACCTTCTCTTGATACCTTGCATATGCTCATCTGTCTTCCTGACTACTACTTCATATGGCTTATTTGTAAATTCAAGCAAATGTGCTTCTGACTGGCACTGATACATCACTGATGCCAAAATATCAGAGAGGATGAAGCATAAGGACATATTTTTTGATTCAGATGGAAAATATTACAGATTTATGAGGAAGTGATGACAATAGCTATTCCATGGTATCTGTATATAGTCAGTATGTTTCCATGCCTCTCTTCACCAACTTTTTTGAATTCAAAACTTATTCAAAGAAATAATTTTTTTCCCTGATCCAAAAGGTATACTGGGTAGGTGGGGGATAAGACTGGTTGGCTGAACAACCCAGCTCTGGCTTTTCACGTGCTGGATTTCCACTGCTTTCCAATGACCACTTACAGAGCTATAATGCACAGAATGACTATTGATGTCCCATTGATATCGATGCGATTTCCCCTAGTGGATTAAGGGCAGCACAGCATACAGCCATTAGTATCTAAAGGTTATGTATAATGGATAATAGAGGAAAATGAAATAGCAGAAAGGAATTTGCACGGGAAACAGAAGCAGCAAGTAGTTTCAGTGAAAGATTTTACTTGGGTTATACAGCAACTGCAAATAGGGATTGAAAAACAATGATGACTTACAGACTCAGCAATAGTCAAGAATGAAATGGTTTCATATTTTGAAATATAATACTTTTTTATTTCAACCACAGAAACCCATTTAAAAATCATCTTGTATATTATAGCTCTTATGTGCCATCTTTCACCTGAATGCCTATTTATGAATTTTTACTCTATCCTTCTAAGGTGGTCACCAATATGGCACAGATGGGATAAATCAAGAGAGATTTTTACTGACTTATCCAGTCACATACTGTCTAGTTCATGACAGAACCAGGAACAAAGTTCCAGTGTTTGCCATAAACATCTTCTCATATTGTACCCATTCAAGTTACTGTGCCAGCATTTAGCCTGACATTTCTGCATCTAAAAAATCTCCCAGTAAAAGATTTCAACAAATATTCCTTACCAATCAACCAATCTTAGTGGTACTCACCATGGGAATAGATGACTTGGTATATGTAATTGAATTTGTAATTTAATAAGAAAAAGTATCTGGTGGATTTATTCAGTAGACTGAGAAGTAAACAAGTTATAAAGTTTACTTCAGTGCTAGAAGAGCAGCAAGGTCTAGCACTCAAGACTCAGTCTGCTCTGGCTTGAAGCTCAGCATCCTTGTTTCTCTGCAAGGCACCCTTTAATCTCAAAAGTGGCCTCTTAACACTGTATGTGGCCTCTTAACTTTGTTGTGCCTCAGTTTCTCCATTTATAAAATACATATGTATTGATAGCTATCCTTAAGGATTGTTGTGAGAATTAAATGAGCTAATACAAGTAAAGAGCTTAGCATAATTCATTTTTTTCAACAAACTTTTACTGAAAGGTCTTATATGTACCAGGCACTATTCTTGGTGCTGAGATACAGCCACGAACAAAATTGTTAATTCTGGAAACTAGTGAATTTTAATCGTGAATAATAATTATTATGGTAACAATGGTAATAGTAATGATAATATTTAACATTTATAGGCTACTTACTATATTTCAGGCACTACTCCATGTGCTTTACTTATATTAACTCATTTAATTCTTATAACAATCCTATGCTATAGGTACGATTTTAAGCCTATTTTACAGATGAGGAAATGGAGACCTGAAAAGGTTGTCCAAGGAAACATGCCTAATAAGTGGCAGAGGTCTGTAAAATCCGTGTTAATAACTATTGAACTATACTATCTTGTTTCCATGCCAAGTTGATAGGCCATTGTTTATTCTATTAAAAAAGACAGTCCTTGAAATAACTGAAATGTTCCATTTTTACTGATGAAATGAATAAATATATAACTAAGTTAAACAAGTTTCAGAATATATAATAAAAATTTGATATGGGAGTGGCCATAATAATAAATTTAAATAGAAAATTAGTATTAAACATGGTAGAAACCTAAATAAAGGGATTGCTATTACTTGAACTTTTTTATACCAAGGGTTAGGGCTTGTATCTAAAACATTACCTCTCAATATAGTAAAAGTTAATAGAAAATAACCCATAAAAAAAGTTTAAGCATAATTGAGCGAGACCATTTTAAAGGGACTCTAATGTATTTAAACTTTTTATATTATTCCTTATTTTGAATGATATATTAAAATCATGTTTAAGTTGTAGGACTTTCTCATCCTTTGCCTCCATCCCTTCAGCAGTATTTCTCATTAAGGGTCACTACAAACCAAATAAACACACATGTTGGGTTATCCTGAAATGTCTGAGATAAAAGGCACAGTTTTGATATTATAGGATAATATCGTCCATGTTAAATAGAAGCATTGTTCAAATATATTCAGCTTATGTGATGAAAATATAAAAGAGAGAATCATGAACATCAGCACAGGCTATGATCCTATACTTTTAACAACATCAGTGACCTCCCTACAAAATATAGCCATTTATTTGCTTACCATCCACTGGTCTATGATGTCTACACAATCTCATTATGTGAACTTTTAGATTATTCTCATTTTAGATAAATAGGAATCAACAAAATGTACTTTATTACTTATCAGAAAGTCTAAGTCTCTTTTTATCTTCCACTCAGAATCATATTCATTGTGTCTTAGTGGGTAGATATGCTTCAATTAGGTAACTGGGGTAAACCTGAAAATAATTTACTAGGAATATACCTGGATAGAATTTGTTTTCTACAATGATGTTCTATTCATTCTAGGAATAGTGCTGCCACAAAATGTACACATTTCTTAAGTCAGCTTACATTTTAGACTGCAGAACCACTCAAGAAAGTAAATTAATATTCAGTCACAATAAAATGCCATCCAGAAAAATCAATACAATTTGCTACCAAATGAGGGTGACTTTAATCAGGGTGTCTCAAGAACAACAACATTTTTCCTAAAAGTGGAAAGAGCACCTTATAACTGCTCTCTGCTTTACTTTTCAAGACATAGTAATCACACAATTTTGCAGTCATTTACCTAGTGAAATAAGAATACATTTTTTGGTCACAGTGTAAAAATCTGAATCTTGGGAAGAAATTATGTACTGAATTTTCTGATAGCTTCCAAATAACTGGGGCTTTAATGAAATTGCTACCTGAAAATTCCGTAGCAGTATTATTGTTTAACTATAATTTAAGGAGCTATTGTAGATTGGTACTTATGACTTCTAATGGGAAAACCATAACAACCTTTTAATTGTAGGGAAAATGGTTAACTACAGTAATTGCAATCAATAAGACTGTGTTAGTAGTATAAATATTTCTTCTCAAAGAGCATTCCTTACTCTCCTCAGCAGTATTTAAGGTTAGAAAGAAAAAAAAAGAAGAAGAAAATCAATTTGTTATAATACTAAGCCTAGGTCCAAATTTGTACATTCCAGAATAGAGAGAAAAATCCCCCATTCCCACCACAAGCAAAACAAGACTTTGATTAAGAAGAAAACTGAGGCATGACAAAAAGGACTTACCAATCACATAGGCTAGTAACAAGGCCAAAGTCACTGTGATTGCAGTGGCGCTCAATGCTGTGCACTTCCAGTTGCAGCACCTGTAAGGTTTGTTAAAGGTAAAGGCAGGTCGGGAAAAGGTGCTTCGAGGAAGAGGCCTGGGAGGGGGCGAGTACACGGTATTGGATGTCAGAGGGTAGTTCTGACTGGCTGCACTGAAGATCGCAGAGGAACCAGATCCATGTTTGAACAGGAAATGCCTGTGAAAGGGAAACACAAGTTTGAGCTATAAAAACCAAAGCCAGTTGCTACAAGTTACAAAAACACAAACTCCATTAATTTCAAACAATCATGCTATAGCTGAGCTCAAGGGAACTGGATGGGGCTCAGCAACATTTTCATATACCTAAGAGGTAATTCTAAATTGCCCTTGTTATTCTCTTTCTTTTCTTTGTCTTTTTTGTTTTGTTTTGTTTTTAAATCTAGACCTTTAAGAAACAGGCCTTGTGTTCCCCAATTTGCTGGCTAGTGAGTGCTAACATTCCACATGTGGTGTTACACACTACACCCTTCCCTTTCATTAAATATGATCATCAAGAGTTGATTCAAAACCAGAGATGTATCATTAGGCATTTTGATCATTAGTATGGCCTAGACACCAGTGTTTGAGATTATCCTCACTACTAAACTTTAGAGACTAGCTTCACAGTCATATTTTCATTCAACATCTTATAAAAATTATCAAATATACAGCCAAGTTGAAAGAATTTTATAATAAACAACCATATACTCACTAACTAGATTCCACAGATAGCATTTGACTGAACTCACTTTGTCACATACTTATTCATTTCTCCATTCTTCTCTCCATCTGTCAGTTTTTAGTTTTGTTTTGTTTTTGTTTTTGTTTGTTTGGTTGGTTTTGTTTTGAGATGGAATCTTGCTCCGTCACCAGGATGGAGTGCAGTGGCATGATCTCAGCTCACTGCAACCTCTGCCTCCCAGGTTCAAGCTATTCTCCTGCCTCAGCCTCCCGAGTAGCTGGGACTACAGTGCATGCCACCATGCCCAGCTACTTTTTGTATTTTTAGTAGAGATGGGGTTTCACCATGTTGGCCAGGATGGTCTCGATCTCTTGACCTAGTGATCTGCCCGCTTAGCCTCCCAAAGTGCCAGGATTACAGGCGTGAGCCGCTGCACCTGGCCAGTTTTTAGTTTTTAAGCATTTTGAAATATGTTGCATACATCAGTATACTTCCCTTCATATATTTTAACTCACATTAGCTAGTTTGATATTTTTACAAATTTTAATGTAAAATTTATGCACAGTAAAATGTGCAGTTTTATGTGCACATTTGCTGAGATTTGATAAATGCTGTCACCTATGTAACCCAAACCCCTATCAAGATGTATAACATTCCCATCAAGCCAAGAAGTTCTCTTCTGTCCTTTCTAGGTAAATCCCTATTTCTATCCCCAGAGAAACCACTATTCTGCATTTTTTTCCCACCAGACATTTGTTTTGCCTCTTGTAGAACTTCATGCAAACAGAGTCATGCTACTGTCATGTTTGAATTACTAAAGAAAGATCGTTGAGTATTCATGACTATTGTAATATGGGCATTTTGTAAACAGTAGTAATGTATTCACATGGAAGGAGTTGCCAAAAACAAACAAATAAATAAATAAAATTGCATATACTTCTTTTATACTTGTACAACAAATAAATAAAAGTACTTTTATACTTGCTGAGTGCCAAGTGTTGTGCTGAACACTCATTAGTATCTCATTTGCTCTTTACTCATATGATATAGTGTATAATATTATCCTCATTGTGCCTTTACAGAAATGGAGACCAAAACAGGTTAAACAACTTGCCCAAATTCACCTAGCAAGTGAAGGACAGAGCTAGAATCAGAATCTACGTCACTGGGGTTCCAATGTCCTTAATCTTTTTTTTTTTTCTTTTTTTGAGATGAAGCCTTGCTCTGTCACCCAGGCTGTAGTGCAGTGGCGCAATCTCACTGCACTCCAGCCTGTGACTTCCAGATATCACTGCACTCCAGCCTGTAACTCCAGCTCACTGTAACTTCCACCTCCCAGGTTCAAGTGATTCTCCTGTATCAGCCTTCCAAGTAGCTGAGACCACAGGCACCTGCCGCCCTGCCTGGCTAATTTTTTGTATTTTAGTAGAGACGGGGTTTCACCATGTTGCCCAGGCTGGTCTTGAACTCCTAAGCTCAGGCAATCTGCCTGCTTCAGCCTCCTAAAGTGCTAGGATTATAGGCATGAGCCACTGTGCCCGGCCAATCATTTTTCATAAACTTTTTTCTTTTCTTTTTTTATCTTTAATTGACATATATAACAATTGTACATATTTAAGGGGGTACATATGAGACAAGAATAATATAGGGTGGTTTCAGGAGAATAAAAAAATTCCAGGCAGCAGTTTCACATGATTAGAGGCTATGGGCTATTAACACCCTGGAAAACAGGATTTGGACCAAGCTGGCTAAGACTGACTGGACCCAACATGGTGCGGGATTTGACCTAGGTTTCACCTCGGACTTCATTATATCCTCATTAACATACTAAATCACGCAACCCACCAGCACCATGACAGTTCCAGAAATACCCATGTTTGGTGTAAAAATGGGTAGCACCACAGTTCCGATAAATCTTCACCTTTTTACAGGAATTTTCATGAATATTCTACCCCTTGAATAAACAAACCCAAAAAGGTAGCAGCCCCAAACCCCTTTGTGGGTGATTCTCTCTTGAGTACACTTATACTCCCTTTTCTTGAGTGTGTACTCCTCCCTTTGCAATAAATGTCCATACTTTCACTATTTTCCAATTTGTCCTTGAGTTCTTTCTTGCAACAGTGTCAAGAGCCTGGACACCAGCTGTGGTCAAGATCCCACCAGCATTTGGGGACTTCCCCCAGCCTACCAGCATCACATAGTGTTGTTTCAATACATATACACGTAGAGGGAGCAGATCAGGATAATTAACATATTCATCATCTTGACCAAAGTCTTTAATCTTAAGCAGTCCACCGTACTACCTGGGGCAGTAAAATACACTGCTAAATAAAACACATTCGAGTGCTACATTTTAATGTACAACAAAAAATTTCACTAAGCATAAAGCCAATATCACCTTGTACATGTAACGTATGCAGAAATGCATAAATTACTAACATCATTTTAAGACTGACTTCTAGCTTCCATATTTAAAGAACAAAAGCATATGTATTTAAAGGGATAAAAAAACGACCCTACATGAATGTTAATGGAAAATACCCACAATAGAGAATTTTGCTTCAGTATCGTGAGGTTAAAATTTTTTTAAAGGACTGGGTTGCTGAGGGGAGTACAGATTCACAGGTCTTTCTGCAGGACAATTTGGGATTATGTATCAAATGACTTTTAAAATGCCTATTCTTTGATGCAATAATTATGGCTATAGAAATTTTTCCTTAGGAAATGATGTATATGACAATGCATATAAGAAGCCATTCATTGCAGTGTTATTTATAATAGCAAAAAATAAACATTTAAATCCCCAGTAATTGCTATTTCATTAAGTAAATTATTTTATAAACAAATAATATAATACTATACAACCATTACAAATTGTGTGGCAAATGACTGTCTATTCACTGGGAGAAGTGTTTACAGATATTACCAAGCAAAAAAAGGAAGGCTTCAAAAGAGTATGGGCAACATTATTCAATTTTTAAAGGAAAAAAAGTACAAATGTTCACAGGAAAATAATAATTTGTGTTACCTTTGTATGGTAGGGGTATTTTCTGAACTTTTCTGTCTTGAGCTTGTATTGATTTTGTAACTAAGATAAAAAAAAGATTCATGAGTATTAGGGAGTCAAAAACACTTACAGGATAACACCAACCACAGGAATAGTTGGTTCCATTTAAGTTAACATGAGTGCCTAGAAGGGCTGGGCTCCAAGTTGGGCACTTTATCTCCATTATTTTGATCCTTATATGTTTGTGAAGTTGATACTATTATCCTAATCTTCTAGATGACTGAAATGAGACCCAAAGAGCTTTAGTAGGAGTAGAGTGGTGATAATAGTAATTATTATAATAATGTTAGTAAGAGATAACATTTGAGTGATTATTTTTGACAGGCATTGCTCTAAATACTTCACAGAGTATTATATTATTTAATCTTCACAACAACTTTATTACAGTCAATATCTCTATTTTACAGAAGAGATGATCAAAGTACAGAGAGGTTACATCACTTTTCCATGGCCCCACAGCTACTAATTGATTAAACTGAGTTTCAAACCCAGGCAGTCTGGCTGCAGAGCCACTGCTCTTAAACAATACACTATGGCATAGTGTATTGTTTGTGATGGGAATACAGGCCTGTTGAGGCCTAGAATACGTATGCTTTGTGTTGAATTTGGCATGAGGATGATGTTTAATTGAGCCACACTATTACGTTCCTTTTTTTGACTAATAACAAGAATGTGAGAATGATGGCTACAGAATCACAGAGTTGGAAGGGACCCTCAGAAATCATCTAGTAGCCCATCCCTCTCATTTTGACGTTAGGGAAACTGAGGCCAAGAGAATGAAACTTTCTTACTTAAAAATAACATAGCTAGCTAATGGCATGAATGAAACTGGAATCAGGGGCTTCCAAAATAGTGTATTTACATTGCCCCATGCTACTTGACAACCACAGTCTTCACTAGATTAGCATCAGGTTTTAATCATCTGGGTTAACTGACCTGGGCCCAACAAATACTATCTGTTCAAACTACATAATACACATCTATTCTTCTGTATGTCAAATGTTCTTCTAGTAAATTTTAAAGACTGCCTTAACTCTTTTGGATGAATGGGTAAGCATTACAAAGAAACTACCCTTTAGTTGATGAGAACCTAAAAAAGGCACCTAATTTATCCCCAGAATGAAGAAACAATATAAAAATAATAATAAGATTACGTATATTTTAATGAATAAGTGACTCTTAGTTGTACTCTTTTCATTTGATTGTACTGTTACTTTAAGGCTTTTAAATAAATAACCTCCTCCGCACCATAAAAAGATGAATTTCTTTTTTAATGTCTGCTTAACTCTCCCAGACTGTTTTATCCCCTTTGACCATTTCATTTACTAGTGAGCAAGAAGTATAGCACTATATAGGCAGCGTAGTGATATAACCTCCCTACCTCCCCACTCCTGCCCTGTGGTTACTTTGGAGGTGACAAAACGTCATA